TGACACGTTTGGTCGCGTTTCGTCGTTTAATCTTTTCTCGTTTGGCAAAATTCAAAAGCTAAAACAAAAACAAAACAAAACAAAAAATGCTCGAGCAGTTAATTTGCTCAAAGGCGGTATGGTGAAAAAAAACTTTAGTTTGATGGGGACGAGGGAAGAGAGGTACAGCAGTAGTGAAGAACGCGAAGTGCTTCGGTGATAAAAGCTGAGACTTATTTGTTTTGTTTACTTTTTAATTTTCAACCGCACTGTTATGGCCGGCCATGCGAGGTTTGAAATTGAATGAAACCATTACAATCGATCGTTTATACAAATAAAATGATGATGTGAACACCACAGTTGTAATGATGATTTAAGCAACTGCAAATTAGGCATGAAAAAATATTTCTAGACTTGAATGTCCACGAATACATGTAACAAACAACATTAGAAAAGAGATATTGATAAGTTAATAAAGATGGTGAATTTTAAGCTCGATAATGAAATGTGAAGGTGAATTATTCAACATGACACGAGCGTGGGACAAAGATAAGTTAATAAAGATGGTGAATCTTTATTAATCTTTATTAACTTATCACTACTCACGATGAATTCGATAGCGTTGATCCTAGCAGTATGCAGGACACCTGTCATATATGAACTCAAATAAATGACCTTGCTCTCCATGAGTTCTCGTAGCTCAGTGGATAGAGCGCCCGACCGGTGTTCGGGAGGTCATGGGTTCCATTCCTGTCGGGAACTCAAAATTTTTCTTTGTCCTACGCTCGTGTCATGTTGATTAATTCACCTTCACATAGCTAGATATTGAAGCACGTTTATGCAAACTTTACCCGCCTGATTTTGTCATTTTTCTTTTAACCCATAAAGAGGTCAAACGGAAAAAAATATCTTCTATCATCAAAAAAACAAATATTTCGCACTAACAGCCTGAAGGTGACATCGTGTTATTTCCTTGATTGTTCCGCTCGCGTGGACTCGATTGAACGCGTGAAAAACTTCGCGCATGCGTAAACGCGGATCTAGTCAACTCGGAATTTTCCCTCATTTTCCAACTCGTGCGTCTATATTTCCGCTTCTTATCGGTGAAATTTTTTGCAATTCTCCTAGACGTGTAAAAACAATTGACTGCGTATATATACCGATTAAAAAAAAAAAAATTGTAGGAAGGAAAAAAAATTAAGAAACCAATAGACGAAAAGTAGTGTTTTTCTTTTATCTGCTCGACAGAATTTTTTGAACTTAAATATTTTGAAGATCAATCCAGATAACATCTAATATAGGAGTCTGAAAAGATTTCACCGACCTGATTTCGAAATTAGATTCCAATTTTTAGTGCACAACTAAATGCGTCATATGGTTTCCATGGTAACAAGTTTTGGGAACAAAATATGATGAAATGAATCTATGATATCTTTTTCATTTCTGTAATAAATTTCATACCGGAATGATGCACCAAACTGTATTTAAAAGAGAATTTGTAAAACTTGTTTGGGTAAATGAAAACTATTTCGAGCCACCTCAAGCGCGCTATATCCGATTGGGAGTTGAGTAGGTGTATACTCATGTCTGATGTCAAAATAAAACAGAAGGGAAGGAGGGTTGGGAGGAAATGAAAAGAATGATCGTGTGGGATCATTCGGGAGAGTGCCCGGCTAAATACTTAGTAAATATTGGACCGGCAATGGAGCAATATAATTGGTCAAATCGTAACTAAATCAGTCATCTAATATGTTCAGTTTTGACTGTTTTTGCTGTTTTCGTTGTGTTCTCTCTATGCAGGTGTATTTGTTTTTATTATTTTTTTTTTTTTAAGAAAAGTATGTGTGGACGTATTCTGATGTAATGAGAGCATTCCCACCAGGTTTCCAGGTAATTAAAGTATATATCATAAATCAGTACTCATTTGTAAATTTTGGGAAAAAGCAAAAAAATGTAGCGAAGTTAGTTCGACACATTATTGAGCTAATCTGTGAGAATAATATTTCATTCGTCTTTTCTCTCTTAATTTTTTTCCTCGAATTTGCTAGATGACCTTCAGAGGAATACTTCAACTTTTTAACGAAGAGGATATCCTGTTGCTCTGCTGGAAA